TCATACATTGTATTTATTTATAAATTAGTTATATTAAGTTTTTTCAAAATATAATAATTAGTGATCTTAATAATGGTCCTATTTATTTGTTGAACATTAAATTTATAAGATTTAAATTAATGGGGAAAAAATTGGACCTACTATTTTAAATTTAATGCTTGTTAACCTTCAATAAAACAGGTTATAATTTATTATACAGTGGAACATTGTTTGTATAGTTGGGACAATTTTCGCGTAGTTATGATAAACATTTTTCGCATTAAAAATTATAAATAAAAGCAAGTTACAGAAATCTTCTTAACAAACATTAATATTTTAATAAACTTTTTTTTATGTATCATAATAGGTGTTCAAGTTTTGAACTAAACAAAACAGTGTAATTATTTATAGGTTCCAACAACGCAACTTGAACTTAAGAGGTCTCAAAGTAAATTGTTCTAGTGGAGAACTTAAAAACTACCTCTTTATAAATTTCAATGACCTTTACTCAAAAGTTTAAATAAAATATTGTTTGATTTAAATAAAAAACTACAATAATATGTTATTAAATAATTTCTGGTTTCATCTCCCAGAAACAAAAATCCTACACTTCAAACATTTTCTAACGGTAACAAATATATTTAGTTTGATAAAATAATAGAAAAAAATTTCAAATAATTTTCTGCTTATAAAAAATTTGATTTTTTATCAATTTTTTATTGATAATTATTTGTTTAGCATACAATAGTCGTCACTTTTCATAGGTACGAGTCGATATTATCCATCATAGAGAAATCTTATCTTTAATAATTCAAATCTATTAATAGACGCATTGTTGAACGATATGGCAAAAAAAAATTTCTTGATAAATATCATAAAAATAATTTATGGCCCATTGGAACAGATTGTTGTCTTAAGTATTATTAAAACCCAAATAATGACGAATTTATTTTTCAAGTCTAAAACTATTTTAAAATACTTAGGTGGTTGATCAGAAAAACAAATTATTAGAATAAAATTGTTTGAAGTTATTTATTTTACCAAACCATCAAACTAAAAACAAAGTTCTCATTAAAGACTAATAAGTATTTTATCTTTGGAGATGAAAAAAATGTATTTAACTACATGTTATTGTAAAGTTGTTTGAATCGAACAATATTGTCTTTTACAAGAATTTAAAATTTCTAATAATTTCCAAGAACATGAATATCTTATCCTTAACGATTCACTCTTTATAATTAATAAAAATCGTAAAAACATTTAATGTAGAATGAATAACCAGATTATTAATATCATTGTAGTGTGGGATAGGGTAGTTTAAGTGAAAAGATATTATAACGATGTATGTTTATTGGTCGGCCGTTGGAATAAAAGTCTATTGTATTTTTTTATCTAAGACTAGTACACCCCGATACACAAAGTCGTTCGTTCGGTGTGTTACAAAATAAAATAATTATATCACTTTTCATTAATGATAAATATTGTATTTTCAATAAATTATAACAAAATCTGAGCATGCGAATATGATGTATTTATTTAATAATAATATTCCCGCTCACTCCTCATTAGAGTAATTAACTTTTCTGAAATTAGACTATCTAAATTATTTCAGAAACTTATAAAAATGAGATTCGCAAAGTTGCAGGTAAATTGGTAAGGATTATATCATGCCACAAATGGCCTAAAGTTTAAAACCACAGTAATTTTCAGTTAACATATGTTTTTTATAGTTTATTTTATTATAAAGCCATTAAATAAAAGATTCATAAAAAATTGTATAGACAATTATTAGAAAAAAAAATAATTTAAAACAAATTTTATTCTAAAAACTGTTCTTATAAACTTATTATTTATCCGAAATTAAAGCCAAAAATCATATATTTTCGGTAAATATAGTCTCATCATTTTATACATATTAAGGGAATACTTACTTAATTCTGTATTATTTTAAATTGAAGTTGATATAATGTATTATACAATTAAATAAAGAGAATTCTGGTGACTTGTCCTCTATGAGTAATCGGCCTCTTAAATCAAAAATCATATAATTTTTGCATGCGTATGAAAATCATGCTAAATTTGTAATTAATGATCAAGTGTAAATCATTTTTTATATAAACAAATTAGTACGAGTTTATATTTTAAATAACTGTATTACTCATGTCAAAGATTGTTGTGACAAGTTTATAGCTGACATAAGAAATAAACAAATTATTACAGAACAACTAGAGTGTCAAAGTTGAAAAGTATTTGAAAAATTAATAGCCAGTTGATTACTTGTCCACCATAAAAAAATAATCGTAATTTATTAATTATTTCCATTAAATAATGTATAGTATTTTGAAATTAAATATTAAACTGAAAAATTAATGTAATCTCGCATTACAACTGTAATTTTCCTAGTATAATTAAGAAATATAAGGTAATATAATTGATTAATATGTGTATAGTGATGAGCAAAATAGGTCTTTCTCTGGCAAAAATGCAAGACAAAGACTAACACTAAAAAAACTAAAATCAATACTAAAAGAAAACCAAAACCAAGACATGATGGGCAAGTCTTTTCAAAAAACAAAACGAAAACTGCAAAAGTTTTGCACTCATGCAAAAAATAAACAATGATGATTACTAGATCGTAATAGCTGTACAAAATGTACCTTTTTCCCAGAACGGTGTTAAACACCTTGACAAAACCGATAAGATTTATAATTAACCGGTGCATAAAATACTGAATTATTCTTTTATTTTTACTGACCATGTGTTTGTGTAAAATAAGTAATACCTACGACTAGTGAACATAATATATATTTTTTACAGGATATTACTTTACCGATTTTTTCATTATTTTAAAAGGATACTTCTAGATTAATTTTTAAAATTTTTATGCATTGTTACTAAATTGTAGGGGAAATTGGCAAATTACGAGCATATAACCTTAAACATCTATTGAAAATTCAGTATTACTAAGTTTGAAGAGGAGACAACTTCTGATAACAATACAGACAAATTATCAATTTTAGAGGGACTTTTTTAGAAAACCTGAGTCCCTTAAAAGTTTTAAGTCATAAAAGTTTATGTATAACTGACGTGTTTATAATAAGTTACAGAAACAAAAACGGGGTGGCTTTTATAATAACATTTCTTTTGTTTAATATATTTGTAGATATAATTAAACATTTATTTTATATATTACACCCCTAAAAACCGCCTTTAATGTGGTGATTTAATGATTCTAACGTATTTGATGAAAAATATTTTATCTATAAATTATTAGGAAAAATTATTTAAGCAAATATGCGCATAGATATATATATATACGTGTGTGTGATAATAAATATATTTTTAATCATACATAGATATAGATGTTAAATGATGGATCATTGTGTAAGCATATGTAATATGAATGTTTTGAAAAATACAATATTATATTCAATAATATTTCGCCGCCGTTTTCTCTAATCATATTTATGATATATTTTTATTAAAATTATTTAGTTTGTACAATTGTCATATACTGAATAATAATTATAAAAAATTGTTTATAAATAACTATTGTAGAACAGAAAAACAACATATTTTTATCGGGGTTGTTATGTTTTTAACACAAAAATGTCAATATATACATTGTTGAAAAAATGAAAAACAACATATGTATTATTTTCTAATTTTCATAAGAATCAATCAAATATATTTAAGAATATTTTTTAGTGAAGAAAATAAACGTACATTTATGTTGTAAAGACACTCTTATGTATCCTATATGTAACATTCATTTAATTTTATCTACAAGAATTGTGACATATGTTTTTTGTACATAACTTTGAGTCGGGTCGTGATTAGTCGATCTACGTGCGATAACTAAAATAATTATGTGAGGTAAAGAAGCTCTACAAAGAACTAAATATGCACAAATATTTTAATAAAATGTTATTTTGAAAAAAAATTAAAAGAAATATGTAAAAACATTTCAAAGTCATGAAATATGCAGTACTGACGCACATAGCAGTGGCGTACTGTTTTTTTGAAGGGGGATATACATAGGGAAAATTTTAATACCTTCTCCAAATGAAAAGATATAGAATTTTCACCAAATAATCAATTTTAGTAAGGGAATAAATCCCATTTCAATTAACTCCATCCTGGCATAGGCACATAAAAGTGTTCAGTAAGGAAACAGATTTCTATTATTCTCATTGTTAATAACAATTTACCTGTTAACTAAACACCTAATATGTAAAACATAGCGCCAGTATTGGTTGGATTTTAAAAATATAATTAAAATGTTATAAAAAATAAAAAAACCTTAACATACAAAAATATTCAATTTGAATTTGTATAGTATTAAACAACTGTCTAAATGTATAGATGATTGCCCTATTTTTATGTATACACAAAAAAAAAAATTAAATCCTTGAAGTTCTGTACTCATGGAATAAAAGCTCTTTTGCAGAAAAAACACATGTTATGTTCTTTTTTTATTTTTGCTCAATATTGTTAACCTGGGACTCTGTGTCAACAAATAAGTCTCAAAAAATGATGAGACTTCAGATCTCGTACTCAAATTTCCAGTTATGCCAAAGCATACAAGGAATTTAAACAAACAAATTTTTTTATATACAATTAATATTTTCTTAAAAACTAGATAGATTTTTTCAAGTCAATCAAGAAATTTAGTAACCTGATTCAGAATAAGCACTAAATACCAATCAAATAGTCCTAAGCAGAAAATTATTAAAATAAGTTGTCCAATAATATTTAAAAGACTTCTATTGTATTTATTTTTTAATAAAAATTTAATTAAATTTTTCTTTAATGTAAAAATACATTGTGATACAATTTACTTCCCCTTAAAAATATTTTATTGTTAATGATTATTGTTATAACAATAATTCAGTTAATTTTAAATAACTACATATTAAATATACTACTAAAAATTAATTTATGCTTAATTTATCAATGGATTTTTCAAGTTATTATCAAAACTTCTTTTGATAATTATGTTGAAATATTATAAAAACTAATTATATTATTTTTAGTTGTCGCTTTATTAATAAATTTTACAATATGTGTTCTACATTTTATAAAATTGGATGTAAAAGGAATAACAGCAGCAGCAACAGCAACAACCGCATAAAATTGTATTTATCTGTAAAAAAAATAAAAACGATATTAATATTTCCTATACCACATAATATTTTATAATGTAACCACTGAATATATCTGGAATTTTTTTTTATAAAAATAACATACTTTCAAAACAATTTATCTAAATTATTTTATTATGTATCCAATATAATATATCATTTGGTAAACAATAATACTATAATTTTATTATTTCAATTCACATGTTGAAATAATGATTTACAAAAGACAATGGTTATTGATAAAAATAAGCTTAAGATTTTATTAAAAAATCTCATTTTAGTCGTAAGTGTAAATAAGAAATATTCCAGTCTATCTAACAATATTATTTTGTTCTGGTTAAATACCAGTTTTTATTTATATTAATGTTAAGCTATTTTTTAACTTCAGAAATTATAACTCTTGTAAATTCCATGTGTCTGATATTTTTTCAAAACTGCTCAGAATTTTTCCTTTGAAAATTTTTAATCAATATTTCTCAGCGAAATAAGTAAATTTCAATTACAACTAAAATGTTTCTCTATGGCAAAAAATAAATAAGTTTACTGAGTCATCTGAATAATTTTTAATATTGTCGGATTGGTTGCTATGAGTAACAATAAATATTGTTATCAACCAGAAATTTAATAATATTTGTATATATGTTTAATATGTGTAATTACATTTAAGAAAATAATAATTACAAATTACGTAATTACTTTTATTTTGTTCTTCCAATTTTATATGTCTACAATTAATGAAGAACATATTAAGAGTCAATAATGAATATTGAATACACCCCCTATAATAACTCTTACCATAAATATACAAGAATTATGAAAAAATATTGTTATTAAAATAAATACTTTCATAAATTATTAAAAATAGGATTAATACTATTAATAATGTTTATTATACAAACAATGTTAAAACTATCAGTCCTAAGTCATAAAATATCGTGAAGAATATAACACTTAAATTTTCTGTTGTTCATATCCAAAATGTTCCAATTTACTATTATTATTAAGTTAAATAACCACTTAATTACTATGTAATTAGTTACAAGAAAACATTTTATTATATAATATACTTTGCCATTAATAATTTGAAAATATACCATGTAATAATTTAAGTAATTATACTCACTTACTAAACCTATCGAAGTCTTCTAGCTTCTCTTTCAGACTCGAGCAAAGTAAGGATATCGCCCTCACGAACTGGTCCTTTTACATTTCGGATGATCTGTCTGTTCTGTTCACCAATGAATTCAACTTTAACCTGTGTACACTGGCCTTGTGATCCAGTACGACCCAATACTTTTAATACACGAGATAGAACAACTGGTTTGTCCATATTGATTCTTCAAGTTTATTTTAACTTGTAATACTAAGAAAATAATTCAACAGCCAAGAGTGTTTTACACGTGGTTTAAATAACGAGCAGGTTATTTTCCTAATGGCAGAAAGAAAAAGAATAATGTTTGCTGATGTTCACGATAAGAGAAAAAACCAACACTTAAATGATAATATTCATCAGTATGACCATAGTCACCATAATACAGGGCTACCGCATTCAAACAATTTTAAATTAACAATTTATTATCTTTATCACGGTCTACATTAAAAATCTCTGAATTTTTTTTTTATCTGTAATTGTAATAGACATTATTTCTAATCGTATTTTTTAACATTAACATGTAATTTGTCAGTTTTCATGACAACTCAAAATAAAAATCCAATATTTGAATGATTGTGTAGCATTATTAGATCCAAGTGTAGTTTTTTCATATAATTAATTGCAGGCTATGCTATTACAAATAAACGTTTCATCTTATTGAAAATCAGTATAAGGGTTTCTATAAAAATAC